TGCCTCGGCAAAGATTAAACCACAACAATGAGGAGCAGTGTTTCCTACGCTGTCAGTGCCGAGAGGTTATAAGCATGACTAAAATTTCGTCAGGAAGACCTCTACCTTGTGGAGGTGGGGTCCAATACCTCCACTGTAGTCTTGCGAGTTATAGGAGACGACGAAAGGGGAACCGAGTCCCTGGGGCTCTAATGGGGGCCACCCTGTTCCTGGGGGTTATAAATATGGGGGCATAGCCCTTCAGGTTGGGGGAGTCTCGAATCTGACACAGCAAAATGTGGTCACGGTTCTCGTGGGACTCGGACCTGAGAATGACTGCGCTGGCGGTGCCCAGCAGCAATTGTAAACTACAAACATACCGTCTCGTCAGGAAGGATGTTACATAAGGACTATGAAAGCAAGGATTTAGTTGAAAAAAATTGTTGGTTGTGAGTCTCAAGGGCTTGTTGCCAAGACGAACTTATTTCCAGTAAACTGCCAATCGCGAAGTAACTCTGACTAACTCTGATTTTAGTTAGGAATATTGAAATAAATTAGGATAAGGCTCAGGGAATCGACGTCTCTCGCAGTCGTCGACCGCCTGAGTCTCATCTTACACTGAATGGATAAAACATACCATTTGTAAATAGTGTAAAATATTTCGGTGTAATCATCTATAAGAAAGTTACATGGAGATACCCACACAAATAATCGAAGTCAAGGCCTTCAGGACATTTATGACAGTATATTCACTATTTAAAAGTGAGTGATTAAGTGCTAATATTAAATTGACCCTCCACAAAGTACTCATTTGGAGTACACCTACGTCTTAAAATTGCAGGGCCTACAAAACAACGTTCTCCCCACCACTGAACAATTTCCACAGCCCACCTCGGTCCGCGATTTGCGCACGGTTTTCAGCCTTTCATACGTATGATTATAATGAAATTATTGTAAAGTGTTTGCAGTAGGTACTTCCATGGCAACGCAATAACAGTGAGCCGTTGCGTAGACAACGCCGAAACGACGAACGAATCTCTCCGGAGGTAAACAACCGAAGACGCGTTGCGTAACAGCGGACTGTTGAAATAGCAGTAAGGGAACCGTGAGGAATGGCGTCCGGTATCCGGTCCGCAGAGGAGAAGACAGTCTTGGGATAACCGTGACTGAGGGCAGTCGAGATGCGGCATTGGAGCATTACGCCAGAAGTCAGGTGACACTACAAGCGGTGATAACTGCAAGGTGTGTAAGTGTGAGTGTCCAGTAAAGATTCGCTAAATCCGAGACCCACGTGAAGTTATTTGTCGCGTGACATACCCAACACGTGACATTATGCATGTAACAAGCAGAAGTCATACGAAATTCTGAAAAAAAATTATTTGCAATATTGGAAAAGGCGAAGCGCGACACAGGAAATACGTGTATAAGAGGCTTCAACTTGTCGGCGGTAAGGCGTACGGCGAATAAACAATTTATTTACAGAATACTTCTATAGAATAATACACAGTAATAAGATTACAGAAATCACAAATCACTTGAATCAAGACATAACAATCAGGTGTGTACCTACGATTTACTGTAAACTGATAAGCAGAGCGTTTGGTCAAAATATTTTCTTGAGACATATAGACACAGTCGCCTCTCAATTATTTAAACTACATTATTCTTAACAAATAAGCAAAAGTATTAAACAAGAGTTCTTAAAGTAAATATTTTACTTAAAGAAGCTAATATTATTATCATTTAATAATTATATAATTATTAAATTAATTCCTGGTACTCATTTCTGTTAGAGGCTGAGTCGACCGCAGGGCCATAGCGCGGCCGGAAGGATTAGGTTAATTTGAAAAAATCCAATAACCTCATCGGGACTTGAACCCGCGACCTTCCGGCTTGTGGCATATTGCCTCAACCAACTACGCTACCGCGTATATAACATAATGTAATAACCAATTACACAGAAGTTAGTAATGGACTGCCTTACAGAACGATTGCCCTGAATATGCTGAAATCTCACAGGTGATTTGTATAAATTTACAAAAAATTTGGGAATTAGAATCAGATGGAAAGACCATTAACATTTCAATGTGGATATAATGGGTCAATGGGCTTCTATATAGATGACAATGATATGTTAGCAATATATGAGTTTAAAATGGAGTGTCTGCAATTCCTTGTTTATCCTTCCTCAATGATTTTTCAATATCATCGAACAGGTAAGAATGTTGTACATGTGAGAAGATATTTAAGAATGAGGCTTTCAGTACTACTGATACTTCTGCTATGACTGGCACTAGTACTGCTAGATATTAATAATACTTGTAGTATTGTACAAAGAACACAGTTTTAGAAAAATACTTTCGCTGTGTGGTATAGAAAGGAGCAAAGAAGTCATATATTACCTGTTCTTTATCTTTCCAATGAGAGGCGTCAATGTGGACTGAAGCATGTTATTGATCACAGACATTCTGTAACATTCCCATTAGAAATGACAAGAAGTTCGATAGGGAGTCCTTGTTGATGGAGAATGTTACTTTTCTAAGGCTAAGAAAGGTGACCGCATATATTGAGCAACTGACTGAACATTGTACTTTGCTTTCCGGTAACATACACATCTTCTATATTTGACATTCATAGCAGATCGTACGGACACCTTCAATAGTGCTCACAACATGTTTACTCTGCATAAAGACGATCTTTCAGTCTCATGCTTATGTCATAGCTTTATAGAATGAGGTAAAATATTGAAAAAATGCAATATTTAATATTTCTATATAAGAAAATAATAAATTATTTTTGCTACTGTGGCATCAAGCAGTTCATTTCCTGTTTTATGAAGAGCTTCTTGCCTTCTCGCAAGATTCCTGTGATCATTAATCGTGTGGTTCAATCTGCCCACAAAAAATAAGACATACAAAACCTGAGCTCCAAATGCAGATAACAGGAAGAGAGTCAGTCTTCTTGGATGAGCAGCCGCATCAGCACGCATGGTCACCGGAGAACAGTTTATAAATAAAAGCACATGAAATAAAAGTGACAAACTCTTCCCAAATAAATAATTTGAAAACGTTTGCATATTTACCGTGTGGGGCTGAAGCAGTGAAGTTGCTGAAGTCTTGTCTAGCAAGGGCTTCAGTAAAACCTGTGTGCACCAGGAAGCGTATGAGTACGCGTTTTCTCCGAAGTCATCTTATGATTTCAGATTATTCGTCACACAATCCAGAAATATATTATTCCAATGCCATTAAATGAGGACATATTGCTGTCGTTTTGTGTAAATTTGACTGAGAAGGAATAATTCTAAATTAAATTACACGAATACATTTTATATATATATACATATGCGCAGAACATGTGGACACCATTTGCCTCGCATTCTCAGTACATATTGAGTAGAATGCCGGCAGGATTATAAGTGTTAATCACTACACAGGCATCTTAGGTGTAGGGTAAGAACATGTCTGATGGTCATCCCCCCACCCTTCATGAGATACGTATTTCCACCACCTACCCATATATAACAGTAAATTATATAATATATATATAATATGAAGGGGGACCCCAAAAAAGAGGAATTTGTTTCTAGAAGGCGGGGTTCTTATAGTACAGCTTTCCGCCGCTAGGTAGTTGTTTGGAGCACCTTCCTGAATCAGTATTCCGGCTGGTGTCTTCAGAGAAGTTTGCGTTAGTGTTTGGTGAATTTTTCCCCAAATGACTTTTTTATAATTCCTCTATTTTTTAATAACTGATTCACACGAATAACGCGCTACTGTGAAATTTTGTTTCCTTTTGGGGAAAACAGCACCAGAAACTGCGGTTATACGACAAACTGCCTACAAGGAAGCCGCCATGAGTGATACACAAATTTACGAATGGTTCTCCCATTTCGAACGTGGTGAAGTGTCAGCTGATGATCATCCTCGAAGTGGACGTCTTTCGACCGCCCGAACTGATGAAAACGTGATAAAAATTCGTCAAATCATTCTGGAAGATGGCCGGAATTATTATTTGGAAGTTCTGAAAAGGTCGCGTAACAGTTTAAGGAGAGAACGTCCCTATTGGTGGCAAACAGGTAAATGGTTCTTTCATCAGGACAACGCGCCTGTCCACACAGCGCTGAGTGTGCAGCGATTTTTGACCAAAAATGGCATGACACCCTTGCCTCACCCCCGTACTCACCCGATCTTGCCCCGTGCGACTTTTTTATATTTCCCTGGATGAAGAGAGAGCTCAAGGAAAAACGTTTTGCTGATGTTGAAGACGTAAAGAGAAATAGACCGAACCACTAAAAGGCATCACCAGCGATGAATTTAAAAAATGTTTTGAACAATGGAAAAAAACGTTTTGACAAGTGCATTGAATCAAATAGAGAGTCCTTTGAAGGGGATTAAAGTTTTGTTATGTAAAGATATATAAATAAATTCCGTGTTTTTTGGGTCCCCTCGTATATAAATTGCATAAATTATATTGTACTCATACCTCGAAGTTGAGAACAAGTTTGAAACACTTGTTGGGGAGTGAACAGCGGATCCTGATAACCATCCGAGTTATTTATGAATGTCTGTTCAGTTATTCATAGAATTGTCATAGAAAATACTGCATTTAAGTCACCACCGGATCCCCATTTGTGAACTACAAAGTTGCTCTTTTAGATATAAAACATGTCTGAGTTCTTCTATTACATATTCTGAAAGTGAAGATTCGTTCTTTGCTTATCACATCACGTCACATTAACTTCGAGATGCTTTATCAATGCAGCACATTCACAGAATATCACACTAGGCCTCAAATAACGAGTGTAGAAAGTTAAGATCACAAGTCTTTTGGGATGTAGTACCGCGCCAGGTTGATTGGTGGATATCGATTCTGGTTTTCTAGTTCGTTTCATTCGTTCCACAATACGTTACAGCATCTGCAGCCATTCGTTCCACAATACGTTACAGCATCTGCAGCCATTCGTTCCGCAATACGTTACGGCATCTGCAGCCATTCGTCCCGCAATACGTTATAGCATCTGCAGCCATTCGTTCCACAATACGTTACAGCATCTGCAGCCATTCGTTCCACAATACGTTACAGTATCTGGAGCCATTCGTTTCACCCTAATGATCAAAGATTGTCCTACATTCACTTTAGAACAGACATTCTGTATAATTAATGTGGTATATACCGCTAGGCATGTGTAACTTTCACAAATCCTCCCATTACAACATACAGCTGAGTTTCGCTATCTTTAAAGTAAAGTGTTTAATATATGTACCATAAATTTTAAACACAAAAGCTGTGCATTTTTTTCCACACAGTGTGTTTGGGTTTCGTATTACAATAAACATCGATTAATAAACAGCAATTGGCTTTGGTAATGAAACGCATTGTGTTTTCTATGAGGCAGAAACTAAATTTTCAGATATTATTTCATTGAACATCAAAGGACTGACGTGTCTACCCATTGTTTTCTGAATAAGGTGATGTGAGCCGTCTGTTAGTGCAAGGAGTGTACCTGTGACGTCAGCAGCATTAATATGGCAGGTAATGACACAATGTGCGTGTTTTACTGATTACGCCGGAATGCGGCCAAACGTTTTACGAACGGTCGGACTCAGAATTCAGTGATTGTGTACAGGCGATAGTAAAGTTACTTTATCATGTGACTGTGTGGATAAGAATCACACCTGCAATGCACAGACAATTTTGCAAAGCATTTTCTTGTACGGAATCATATAGTTTTAAAAATATTTGAAATGTAATTATCATCTTCCTGGAGAGCTTTAATCATTGCTTATCTGTGAGAAATACCAACATTTAAGTAGCAGCACCATCTGTCGATAGGCTGAAAATGAATCCAACAATTTATGCGAGTAGAATTTAAGTATAATTAACAACAGAAGTCTTAGCCAAATAAATTAAACGCTTTGAATCGCTGATTTCAGGAACGGGAATCGCCCTCATGTTCTCATCACGCATGCGTCATAATTATTTGGTCTACATACATATACATGTATATGCTGAAATTAGAGCCCAATGAATTTTACACTTTCAAAATTCAGTTTAGTATTTATATTTACTACGTAAACAGTTCGGAAATTGTTTCTGTGTACAGTTACAGCTTGTGTCCCTGACGGGTGCATACATATGCGACAGTGAGGATGTTTCTGTGTACAGTTACAGCTTGTGTCCCTGACGGGTGCGTACATATGCGACAGTGAGCATGTTTCTGTGTACAGTTACAGCTTGTGTCCCTGACGGGTGCGTACATATGCGACAGCGAGGATGCTTCTGTGTACAGTTACAGCTTATGTCCCTGACGGGTGCGTACATATGCGACAGGATGTTTCTGTCCTGTGGTGCATACATCCGTCAAGAAAGGGAGGGGGCACACCGAAATTTCCGAGAATTGTTATCAGCCTGATTTGAACACATGTTTCTGAATGGAGCAGCCCAAATTGAGGAAACGGCAACGCGACTCGCGGAAAGACTGAGAAACTCAACTTCCTCGCAACGGAGATGCTAGTCTCCTCACAATTGCGTTGCCGCGTGGTTTCCTAGTGTCAGCCGTTCTGTAACGCGCTTCAGTGATTCATTTGTTTCCTAAGATGGCATGAAAGTCTGACGAAGCTGCTGATTTTGTTTCAGTGCAGTTAATTGAGCAAGAGCCTGGTATATACAAAAACGCCACCCAGACTATACTAGGCAGTTTAAAGTGTAAGAGCAGAACTGAGGCACCCAATGTTTTCTTTTCCTAATATTGTATTTAAGCATCCTGTTGCATTAATATTCATATTTTCCTTATGGTCGTCATGCTCTGTTCTCACGTCGTGTCAACCCATCCCAACTGCCGCCATATTATGACAGGATCAATATTATTATCTTCCATTGGATAAGGTACGTGCACGAAATTAAAAAAATACAATCATGAATTACGTCGGACGAACAAACCCACTTAAGACGATGTGAGCAACTACTCAAACATAAGTTTCCTCAGTCTGTGCCTGCTAATCTGGAAACCAGTTGCCCGATTGAAATCGGCGACATTTCTCGGAAATTGTGGTTGCGTTACGGTTGCCAGTTTCCTTGGTGTACCCTCGCCCTAAGGGTACCTCAATCCGGGTTAGGAAAAGAATGAACACATGCTACTCCCCCAACTATGAGCCTGGCAGCTACCGTTTCCAGCACGCCCGCAGTTTGTCGCTGATGTTGGAGGAGAGTGTGTAGTGTCGGCAGGGTGAGGCAGCGGCCGGCCGATTTGAATGCCACCCGTCGTGTTCATTTCTTCCCTAACCCGCGTGTAGTTCCATATATATGGAGATACAGGGCAGAATTCATATTTTAGAAGTAAATGTAACACACTAAACAGGCAGATGAATTCGCTGAACCTCAGGGTTAAAATCAAATCAATTTACTCAGACTTCGGTGGAGTCCAGCTATGCTCACTATTTCGGCATGGAACTCTTCCTGGAAGACTGCAGTTATCCCAGTTCCTCCTCCGGGTCCCACACGGAGGGCAGCCGTCTGCTCCCCCGATGTCAGTCCACGTCTGCGATAGTGGCAGAAGAGGTGATTCCACTCAGAGGAAGTATTTCTGTGCGTGCCGTGTAGCCGGTGCTGCCGCCCGCTGTGTACCGACAGATGTAAGTACTGCTGCCGGCGTGTATCGTCGACATGTTGTGACGCCGGCGTCGGGAAAAGCGTCGCTCTTTGCAGCACCAGAACCCAAATGTCCTTCTGAATTCTTTCCGGAACTTTCCTGAGATTTAGAAAAATAACGTTAAGAACAGGACTCTCAAATAATAAGCAATTTCTCTGCGCCTGTGATCTGAAAACAAGAATTACTCATATAATTCGGGCCAGTTAAACTTTTAAGAATTCAGATATTTGTAACAGCATGCAGGAAGCTGGCGATGAATACGACATAAGAACTGTATTGACTTACTTGTTTATCCGTCCCTCTTATACTCGTACCTTTACGGTGTCGAGTTTTCTTTTCACTTTGCACATTTACAGACGGTAAGACTCCTTGGGCGAGTGATCACCTCGTCACAAGGCTTCCACCTAAACACAAGACAACACAAACACAGAATAAACACATACGCATACCAAACATCCATGCCTTGTGCGGGATTCGAACCCACGATCCCGGCTTCCGAGAGAGCGAAAACAGCGCATGCCTTAGTCCGCTCGGCCACCGTGGCCGGCAGAACTGTATTAAACTGATTAAGAGTGGCGACGAATGGATATTCACATTGAGTCTTGAGATTATCCTTGCAAGGGACTTGCGTCGCCAGGAAACAAGATCGTGCAATGAGACAGTCACATATGAAATCTGAACAAGGTCTGGAAAATAATATGCTCTGACAAATGTGATAGCGTGTGGACACGGCTTGCTGCCTGAATGCACTCGTGTATCCACAATCTTGCGCGAATAAGAAGGGTGACTTTATTTCGTCCTCATGTACCAAGTTTAGAAAACGGATTTACCTGTAATAAATCCATTTTGGTTCTGCTGAGTCTGAACTGAATTTCCATTTCCCATTGCTCTCATGATAAGACGGAACTCCAGCGTTCACACGCCACCTGTTAATATGGCGATTATTAAGATTTCGGTTTCTGTTCCCGAAGACAGCGCCCAGAATTCTTATGAGATTGTTGCATACCCTTTCCAGTATGTACGGCGGCTTCGGCTGTTAAAGCGAACTGGCAACAATAAAGAACACTTACACGAAAACCTATATGAACTAACTCGCTAGCTAACTAACTGTCTAGCAGAGCAGAAAATGCTGCAATGGAAATTTTACAGAAACATGAAAAATGCATTTCAGTCCCAGCGTAAATTTATATAAGTCGACTGCAATGGCCGTGCGGTCTAATGCATGAACCGTCTTCGCCCGCTTGAACACTGGGGTCGTGGTTTCGAAACCCACTTGATGCAAGAATGTATCTGTGTGCTGCCCTGTGCGCAGGCCCAAGGGGCACTGCCGGCTGTGTACAGGACGAAGAAACTGAATAAGAATCGAAGGCCCAACGAAGGCTGTAGAGCCACAGATAGACAGACAGACAGATAGACAGATAGATAGATAGACCGAGAGATAGATATATAGATAAACAGACAGACAGACAGATAGATGGATAGATGCAGAATCGTAAGTGTTAATGTTTCTTAGATAGTTTAAAAGGGAAGAACACTCTGGAATTGTTATGACATGTATATATCTCCTAACTCGTATCTAATTAGCAGCATAGAGAACCCTGAAATTTCAAAAGTAAATTGTAGCAGTTATACTTGAGCACACTGTGGGTCTGCTTATGGTATCTGCACGACTACGTGGGTAGACAATATTAAAATTGATCTTAGAGAGATAGGAAGGGACGTTATGGATTGGATTGATCTTGCTCAGGATAAGGACCAGTGGAGGGCTCTTGTCAACACGGTGATGAACCTTCGGTTTCCATAAAGTGCTGGGAAATTCTTGAGTAGCTGCAGAATTGGCGGCTCCTCCAGAAGGGCTCAGCTCCATGAGTAAGTAAGTAAGTATATATACACACGTGTGGACATAAGCGCCTACTGTACTGAATCCGTAACATTAGAAGAGAAGTACTTTGCATTTCGTTGGAAAGAACGTTCACAGGAATTGTAATGATGTGTGGTAATCAAGTGTTTGCGGCTTCGCTAATTCATTTTAATATCATGCGCATAATTCCCAGGTTCGGTCACACTCTGACGAGTGCCTTCCTTGATAAAGAGAAAGATTCAAGCCACGTGGGGAACTTCGTGTATTTTAAATTCTTAATTTTATTGAAATTACAATATCTGCCCAAGATTCCCGTATCGTGTATTTCAGTATAACCGGGTTTAATATGTAAAAAAATAGCCATTTTATTTTTTGACTTTAGAATAAACAACGGTGTTTTCTGCGCTTTCCATGCCGAGATGTTATAAGGAGGACAACTGGAGTAAGTTTTCAGAATTGGAGTGGAGTTGGTGCAGCGGAGAGCCAGAGGCCAACGAAGTGAGCGCTGAAACAGAAGAATCTCAAATTCTGAAGTCCGTTACCGGGAGCCGATTAGTGAAAGCAGACCGAGAAGGCCAAACTTGTGTCATGGTGATTAGCGATAGCGTCAAAATTAATTGCAGTTGCGATCCGTAAGTGGTCAATAAATCCAATCTCCAACCCATAAGCAAGAAACAAATAGATATATTTTGCAACGGAAGGTGGAGTAACTAAGTAAACAAGGAGTGTGAAAGCATAAGAAATGAAACTGAGTGAAAGGGAGGCAAAAGACAAATGAATAAATAAACCCTAATGAAAGAAGACATGGTTTATATTCAAACCTAACCATATGCATGACCGAAGAAGATACCACAATGGCATAAATAAGTAACATTATTCTCACCTTCTGACCTGTAAAGAACCAGAAGAACTCATTCCTGTTGAACCAAGTATTGGTGCCTCATGGCAGCTAGCCTGTAGGCAACTCCTGCTGTACCTATCTCAGTTTCGAAAACTCTTACCAAATTTTGACTGTCTGTATATATGTTGGTGCACCATCCAATTTAAATTTCGAAACAGTTGACAGATTTCGAAGAAAACTTGTATGAAAATTATCCTGTTAGAGGAAACAACGAGGTTTAGCATTTGATTTTACACAGTCGTAAGTAAAAGTATTCTTGACGCGCGAGATCATGAGGCATGACGGTTAATTTGGAATCTTGAGGTGATCTACGGCATTAGGGCTTCGAAAAATGAAGATTTCAATAATTAGAAAAGGTCATATGATTACTGCTCGGAACGCCTTGTTAATTATCTACAATTAACAATGAAACTGGCCCGACTCCTTCAACAATAATTCAAGAACTGTAGAAAATTTGTGAGGATTAATTAAAATTATTATTACGAAAATGTATTCTTTATTCAGCAGTAACAAATATTACAACAATTAGAATTGTTTTGGGTTTGTCCAATAAATTTAAATCTGACATAATCTGTAGGTCCCAAAAAATAACAAAATGTTCGCAATGAAAATTTAATTTAATTTATCTATTTTAGTTCTTTCCAGCGGCAGTGACCTGTAACAGACTAACATTTAAATATATAATAAATACAAAATAAAAACAAAAAGTAGTAAGAATATTAATGGAAGCAACAAATTGACAAGGGTTATAGGAGGGAAATATATCCTTCAGGTAAACATTATTCCTATTAAAAAATTGGCAAACTGACAGAAATGTCAATGCACGACGGAGCGACAAATTACTTTCCTCTTAAAATTACAGAAAAAGAAATAAAGCACAAAGATGCAGTCGCCTAAAATTGTCTCCTACAAATTTTGAACATGCTAATATCAACATCTGAATAAGAAGCCGCAGGAAGCCGACAAGAGGTGGTACTCCAGCTTTGGGGTTGGGCGCGGGGCTAACAACTGTTCATCATAAAAAAATAAGCTTGTTACGAAAATGTTAAAAAAACTCTGACTTGGAAGGAATCGTTTTACACATCGTTAATATCCATAAATTTACTTGGACATCTCCTGATGGGAAGATACACTATCAAATAGACCATATTTTGATAGACAGGAGACGGCACTCAAGTGCAGCAGATTGTGATACTGGCCACTACCTGGTGGTGGTGAGCAAACAAACAACGCACAGAGTTCATATGAGGAGGTTCAATCTCAAGAAATTAAACGAGGCAGAGGGCAAAGAGCAATATTGTGTTGAAATATCAAACAGGTTCGCAGCTTTGGAAAATTTGGACACAGAGGTGGATGTTAATAAAGCTTGGGAACCTATCAGAGAGAATATCAAAATTTCTGCCAAGGAGAGTCTAGGACATTATTAACCAAAGAAAGCATAAGCCATGGTTCGATGAAGGATGTTCAGAATTACTAGACCAAGAAAACAAAACAAACTGCAGCGGTTACAGGATCCAAGGGAACTAAGAACAATAAAAGCCGAGAGAAAAGCAGGCATTTCAGGAACAAAAAAGGGAATATCTGAAAGACAGAATTGATGAGCTTGCAATGAACAGTAAGAACAAGAACATTACAGACCTGTATAGAGGAATAAATGACTTTAAGAGGGGTTACCAGCCTAGCAGTAACTTAGTGAAGGATGAGAATGGTGATCTGCTTGCAGATTCTGAAAACATTTTGATTAGGTGGAGGAACTACTTCTCTGTTATTGAATGTACATAGGGTCAGTGCTGTTAGGCAGACAGAAATACATGGAGATGACTCGTCAGTACCTGACCCTAGCCTTGTTGAGTTGAAAGTGCTATTGCATGCAGCAGGGCAAAGTATAAATCGCCAGGTAGTGATCAAATTCCGGGAGAACATATTCAAGCAGGAGGCGAGATGTTACGTTCTAAGATCCACAATCTAATTACTTCTATTTGACAAAAAGAAAAATTGTCCGAACAGTGGAAGGAGTCTATTATTGTACCAGTTCAAAGGAAGGGTGATAAAACTGACTGTAGTAATTATCGGGGGATATCACTGCTATCAACTTCATATAAAATTTTATCCAGTATTCTTCTTTCAAGGTTAGGTCCATACATAAATGAAATTATTTGGGATCATCAGTGTGGGTTTCGACGTAAGAGATCAACTACTGATCAGATCTTTTGAATTCATCAGATATTGGAGAAAAAATGGGAGTACAATGAGACAGTATGTCAGCTATTCATAGACTTCAAGAAAGCCTATGATTCAGTTGGGAGGGAAGTATTATACAATATTCTGATAGAGTTT